TCAAGAAGCGACATTTTCTATGGAAGGCAACAGTGGACCTCGATCGATCTTTGGCCACCGCGACGTCCGGATTTGGTGCCGCTAGAGCGCGGGCGCGCAAACGATCCTGAACGTGGGACGCGTATCGATCGCCTACGGGGGTACATTAGCTAAATTGGATGCTAAAAATAGGCCGCCTTCTTAATAGAACAAAAAATATATCCGGAGGAACGCTCGGCGGGGCTGTCTTAAAAAATTCAGTCACCGCTCAAGAAATAATTAAGAGCGCTGCCATCGATCGTAGGCAATTTTAGCCGTCGTCACTTCACTTCAGGCAACCCCAGATAGTCGGCTATGGCCACGGCGACGACGTCCACCGAGTAAGAGCTATGGAAGGTAAACGCAGATACCCCGATCGAGGCCGGTAAGGTTTCTGTTCATTCCACGCCGTCTGCACGTGGTGTGCTATGGTTCACGTGGCGCTGAATTGAGTTTTGATGTTAAAATGGCGTTCCATAGGCGACACGAGATCTCGCAGCCAAGGAGGTTTTTAAACTTACCGCTAGAGGCGCGCTTGTTCGAAGCGACGGTTTTAAAACGTTTGCGATATTTTAAATGGTTAAGGAGTTTGATGTTTGTAAGAGTATAGCGGCTTCTGAAGTTATTTGGTAGGGTTCGAAAGGAGCGTTCTTACTTTGAGGTCATTTTGCATATTTTTATGACATTTATAAAGTAAGTTTTATAGTAAGGCCTATTTCTTGGTAAAGCTTGGTAAAACCAAGTAAGCTGGAAACGGACTCGTTCAAATTTCAATAAGTTTTTCTAATTTGATTTGATTTATTTATATATAGTGACTAATTTTCGATATTTGCCATTAACAGCTTGGGCGTCCTCGATTAATTACAGAGCGGTCGCGAAATCGTGTTCGTATCAATCGAAAAAACAAGGGGGGGCGCGACCTCGGGCGGTTGTTAATTTTTTTCGGGAGCCCTGAACGGTTTTTAATCGGTTTCGCGAGCCTCTTAATGGGCGCCTGCACGGAAATCGATTTAGGGAAAATGACGCTTGTTTTTCCGAAATTTAATTCGTCCCATTGGCGGCGACCTTTCACTTTGAGCCAAAAATATAATTAAATTTTAAGTGGGTGATGATAAAGTAAATGATTAATTTCGGAAACTAGTTATTAGTTAATTACGGTTGAAGTAATTTTACCAATTTTAGGTTCGTGTGAATATGGGCTTCGAATTAATGTTTCAAAAACTCAATACAATTTCAAAACATATTTTAAGCCTTTTTTTTACCAAAAGAACATTTAATTGCTATGCTGGCGAAGGGAAATATAAAAAAAAAACAAAATTTTGTTAGCCATACATTCATTTACTCTTTAGTATGACCATAACATTATAACTAGTAAACATGGAACGCAAATGACAAGTTTGCATTTGTTGTATCTCTTTTTTAGAATATCAAATTTTCTCAAATGCACTCTGATGCTGACTACAGCCAGCTGTTGCACTTTGGAACTTAACAGGGTAAGACGTAGAATAAACACCACATTTTTAAGCTAAAGCTGAGAGGTACCATTTTTTGATTGATCATGTTAAAAGTCGATTGTAAAATGGAGATCTTAAATTTACAAATGAAGCAAAAAACTCTAGTTCATACATTTGCAACTTATGTTAAGAGATTTATGTATTTCTTAAAACACTGTATGCAATTACAGTCGAAACTCTATATAGCGAAATTGAAGGGCACTTGAAAAATAACAATACGCATATTTTAATATCTACTTAGGAACATTTTATAGAGATATTTGAGAACTACATTTAATGTTTCAATTAATAGGTCATTTTCTTTTGATTTTTTTTTAATATTTCAATATGCATCTCGAACTTTGGCTTGTATTTTCACCATTTCTTCGAGAGGGGCATTTCCCCATGCTACATAAAAAATTCTCTAGCAGCTTAACTGAATATAGAGCTTGTTGAATGGTTAGTGGTGGTCCCAGATCAACTTCTTCATCTTCTTCTTCCTCTTGGTGCTCTTCCTCACCCTTCCTTGCGTGTTGTAATATGGCGTCCTCTGTCAAGTCTGCTGTTGTAGGCAAATCCTGATCTATCACCATAAAATCTTTGCAACTCCTCACTTGTAAACGTAATTATTACTTGAAACTGCTTTATCCACTCGCTTAGTGACTGATCATCTTCCAAGTCTTGTTCGCATTCTGTCTCGTATCCCCTCTTCAAAAATCTGCGATGTCATCTATCCAGACTTGCTTGCCTTGTAAGTGACCGGCAAATCCTTGATGTTCTTAAAACATCGTGGGTTAGCTGAATTTTCAACAACGACTAGCTTTGTTTTTTCTCTCCCACTCATATTGGCAGCTACTAACACCATTATATGTTCTTTATAAAGTTTTCCACCCACACACTTTTCGCTTCGAAATTTAAGAAGAAAAAAACCAGTTTCGTCAGCATATAAAATGTCGTCAGCAGGGTACTTTTCTGCTAGTTTTGGCCACGAATTTTCCAGCCGATCGTTTGTGACGTGTCTGTCGATATCACGGGCTTCGCCACTTATCTGTCACTAATTTATACCATGTCCCTGTTTGAACTTCTCCAACCATCCTTTCGAAGCCTTGAAATCGATAATGCCAAGCTGTTCAGCAAACTTTTCTGGTTTTAGTTTTACGATGATGGGCCCAGAGAGTAGTACATTTTTAAGACGTTGCTGTTGGAACCACTGCAACATTGCCCGATCCAAATCTTCAAGTTTTGGATTTCTTACTTTTTTACTAGAAATGCCTGCCTCTTCAGCCTGAATGATTTTTTCTTTGCACTCCCAAATCGTGGATACAGTCGACGGTGTAAGCCCATATCGACGTCCCACATCACTTTTCATTTCTCCCCGTTCTATCTCCCGCTTACGCGCCATGCTTGCCATATTCACTAAGTCAAATTGGAACTGATTGAAACAATGGTGTACTCGTATACATACCGATAAAGGCATTAACATAATCGCTTATTACGAGAAAAACACTTAGAGTGTGAAATCCTTTATACAGAGTGGATTAATACATAGCTTTGTATGGAGACCTAATAGTACAACAAATTTTGTTCGTAATACAGTTTTACGTTATTGGGAGTTTTCACTGTATTATATTTTGTTTTTCGTGTTCCAGTTATTTATTTAACTTGGTTGTACTGAATCTCGCCCTTCTTTTTTGAATAAAGGTCTTTAATATTGTTATTGTTATTATTATTATTATTATTATTATCATTATTATTATTATTATTATTATTATTATTATTATTATTATTATTATTATTATTATTATTTTTTTGTATGAGAGGTTATAAGGCGAATCTTCCTCAGCCCGTTCTGGGCGTCTCAAGACACCCTGGGGATGGATGGTGTGTCTCCTTGGCGACGACGGGTTGGCATCAGCCGACCGTGTAAACCCAGTGTGAGCGTACTCACACTTCCTCTCTTGACGACAAAACAGTGTGCCCTCCATCTGGAACTGCGTCAGCATTACTTCAGATGGAGTGTCGTCCGGACGCGCGTGATATTCTCTCTCGCCCTATGATCTTCCCCATGATCTTTCGGTCTCCTATTGACTAAGGTTCAGCGAGCTTGTATAAGATTTGGCCGTTCTATCCTCTTGGCAGAAAGTATTTGCTTTGCCATTTTGCAGACGTGGTCCCAATTTGTCGGTAACTCTAACATTTTTTCTACTAGGTTGTCTGGGCTTATGTGACCGAGTATTTGCTCTGCTATATTCCGCTGCATGTTCCATCTTGGGCAGAAAAATAGAGTGTGTTCAACCGTATCCACGTTTATGCAATAAAGGCACTCCTCGGTTTCGGCCAGATTGAAACGTTTGAAGTAGGCTTCAAAGCACCCGTGCCCGGTAAGTATTTGTGTAAGAAAGAAATCTACTTCACCGTGTCGTCTCTCAAACCAGGGTCTTATATTTGGAATTAGCTTTTTACTCCATTCCGCTGTACCATCATCTATGTCCCATTCCTCTTGCCAGCACAACATCACCGCGTTTTGTGCTTCCGTTTTAGCGTCTGGTCCATCTTTCTCTATACGGGCTCTGCACTTAACTAGGAGATTAATAGGTGGGATCCTAGCTATCACCATAAGTGCCTTATTGGAAGTTGTTCTGTATGCTTCGGAGACTCTTATGGCTACCCTCCTTTGAACACTACTCAGAATCCTTTTATAGACTTTCTTCTCAACTACTTGCTCCCATATTGAGGCGCCATATAGTAGTATTGAAGTCACTACTGAGCATAATATCCTCCTGGTGCTTTCACGAGGCCCATTCACTTTTGATAGAAGGCGACTGATGTTGTTCAAGGCCTTGTTGGCCTTTTCTGTTACGGCTCTGATGTGGGCCCCCATGGACATGTTTCTATCTAGTTTTATACCTAAATATCTGACTACTTCCTGACTCTGAACTGTTGTGTTTTCCACTGTGACTGAAATGTTTTTAACTTTCCTTCCAGCAACAAGTAGGACTGCCTCCGTTTTTTGGGGGGCTAATTTCAGGTTTTTAGATTTCATCCATTCCGTGACATTGTAAAGGGCATGGTTGGCTACTGTTTCCATCTTCTCGGCTTCTTTTACTTCTGCTAGGATAGCCAGATCGTCAGCATATCCGACAAGGGTAATACCATTTGGAACAGGAATTCGGAATACACCGTTGTAATACACATTCCATAGGGTTGGACCTATTACTGATCCCTGCGGGACCCCGCATGTGACGTCCATTTGCGCTGCCTATGCTTAAACGCCTATCTTCGAAGTAGCTTGCTATGATGTTATACAGATAAGGGGCTATGTTACGATTTCGAAGCTCTTCCAATATACCACACCATGGTGATTATTATTATTATTATTATTATTATTATTATTATTATTATTATTAATATTATTATCATCATTATTATTATTATTATTATTATTATTATTATTATTATTATTATTATTATTACTATTATTATCATCATTATTATTATTATTATTATTATTATTATTATTATTAGTATTATATACGTAAAAATAGAAAGCATTTACCATCTCGAAAAACCACCGAATTCAAATCTTCACGTCGATATTTGAACAACTCGAGCTACGAAGAATTTCTTTTGCATTCATTGCGGATCACCGTGTATAAATTTTGTTATGCCAGTAGGGCACCAGTTGGTTGGAAGCGTTTCAGGCACGGGGACGCCTTGAGGAGTCGAGAAACCTCGCCGAAGGTGACTCGTCTATATCAAAATTCCGCGTCGACCAGCGAAAAGAGTTATTTGTGTGTCGATGTTCAATCGCGTAGATGGTGATTGCGATCGGGAATATCGTATTTAATTGTGCTGTTGGTGCGGACGGATACTAACCATGGGTCAGTGTTTTTGTTTTTAGTTTTTTGATTCCTTTAACGAAATATTTTAAATTTTTTGCGCAAACATCGCGCGAGATGGCCGTCGCTAGTGTGCGAGATGAGATCGCCGCGGGTCAGTGACGTTTCCACGTTTGTTTTTTCCGTTTCAGGGCTCGACTTCATCGAAGGACAGGGCGAAGACTTCGAGAGGGCACTGGAAAGTACGGGTGAGTCTTTTTTTCGGCGAGTCGCGCCGACCCGCTCTTGACCCAAAAAGCCCGAAGTCGGTGATAAATAAATAATAAACGCGGCCTTCCACCGGCTGCGGTACCGAACCTGAATGATAAACGGAACCTTGGCTGAAAAATATGTTAAAAAAATCGCCCGGTCGCATTCGAAAACGGACCAAAAGTCTTGATAAATTAATAGGCTAGTTTTAAAAGCTTTAAACCGTTTGGAACAAAACATTTCAGCGCTTAAAAAGATTGAATTGCCGCAAAATCGTAATTATCATGTTTTTATTTTGCATGCATTTTCTTTGCAAATTCCTTAGACTACCATAAAACCATAATTACAACTACCATTAGGTTCGCCTTACTTAGACTACCAAAATACCATGGTCATCCTCTATGACGCTCTAGAATACCAGTTTTTTGGAGCATCTTATAGGTAACCTTTTTTCATTTTGTAAAATTGCTTAAAATGACTTTTAATTAACACAATTTTGCTTTTTAATGGTCATTTCTTACTATTTTCCTTGACTACCATAAAACCATAATTATCCTTTAGTTTACGCCCTAAATTACCACCTTTTTTGGAGTATCTTAAAGGTAACCTTTTTTATTTTGTAATATTGTTTAAAATGACATTAAAATAATACTAATATCACTTCTTGAAATCTTTGTTGATTGCGGAAGACGTACAATTCGCCTTACTAAGATTACCCAAAAGTCATAATTATACTCTATGACGCTCTAGATTACCAGTTTTTTATAGCATGTTATAGGTAACCTTTTTTTCACTTCATAAAACTGCTTGAAATGACTTTTAAATAACACAATTTTTCTTTTATTGATGTTTGTACATTTTCCTACCGGGAAACCATAATCATCCTTTACTTTAGGCCTTTTTGGAGGTAACCTTTTTGTTTTATAATATTGTTTAAAATGACATTAAAATAATACCTATATTACTTCTTGAAATCTTTGCTGATGGCAGAAGACGTACAATTCGCCTTTTTCATTTTGTAAAATTGCTTAAAATGACTTTTAATTAACAGAATTTTGCTTTTCAATGTTCATTTCTTACTATTTTCCTTGACTACCATAAAACCATAATTATCCTTTAGTTTACGCCCCAAATTACCACCTTTTTTGGAGTATCTTAAAGGTAACCTTTTTTATTTTGTAATATTGTTTAAAATGACATTAAAATAATACTAATATCACTTCTTGAAATTTTGTTGATTGCGGAAGACGTACAATTCGCCTTACTAAGATTACCCAAAAGTCATAATTATACTCTATGACACTCTAGATAACCAGTTTTTTGGAGCATGTTATAGGTAACCTTTTTTTCACTTCATAAAACTGCTTGAAATGACTTTTAAATAACACAGTTTTTCTTTTATTGATGTTTGTACATTTTCCTACCGGGAAACCATAATCATCCTTTACTTTAGGCCTTTTTGGAGGTAACCTTTTTGTTTTATAATATTGTTTAAAATAACATTAAAATAATACGTATATTACTTCTTGAAATCTTTGCTGATAGCAGAAGACGTACAATTCGCCTAATTTCGACAACCCAAAAACCATAATTATCCTCTATGACTACAATTACCAGTTTTTGGAGCATCTTTTAGGTAACCTTTTTCCATTTTACAAAATTGCTTAAAATGACTTTTCATTAACACAATTTTGCTTTTTGATGTTTGTTTTTTACTATATTCCTAGACTACCATAAAACCATAATTACCATTTAGTTTACGCCATAAATAACCACCTTTTTTGGAGTATCTTAAAGGTAACCTTTTTTATTTTGTAATATTGTTTAAAATGACATTAAAATAATACTAATATCACTTCTTGAAATCTTTGTTGATTGCGGAAGACGTACAATTCGCCTTACTAAGATTACCCAAAAGTCATAATTATACTCTATGGCGCTCTAGATTACCAGTTTTTTGGAGCATGTTATAGGTAACCTTTTTTTCACTTCATAAAACTGCTAAAAATGACTTTTAAATAACACAATTTTTCTTATATTGATGTTTGTACATTTTCCTACCGGGAAACCATAATCATCCTTTACTTTAGGCCTTTTTGGAGGTAAGCTTTTTGTTTTATAATATTGTTTAAAATTACATTAAAATAATACCTATATTACTTCTTGAAATCTTTGCTGATAGCAGAAGACGTACAATTCGCCTAATTTCGACTACCGAAAAACCATAATTTTCCTCTATGACTACAATTACCAGTTTTTGGAGCATCTTTTAGGTAACCTTTTTTCATGTTGTAAAATTGCTTAAAATGACTTTTAATTAACAGAATTTTGCTTTTCAATGTTCATTTCTTACTATTTTCCTTGACTACCATAAAACCATAATTATCCTTTAGTTTACGCCCTAAATTACCACCTTTTTTGGAGTATCTTAAAGGTAACCTTTTTTATTTTGTAATATTGTTTAAAATGATATTAAAATAATACTAATATCACTTCTTGAAATCTTTGTTGATTGCGGAAGACGTACAATTCGCCTTACTAAGATTACCCAAAAGTCATAATTATACTCTATGACGCTCTAGATTACCAGTTTTTTGGAGCATGTTATAGGTAACCTTTTTTTCACTTCATAAAACTGCTTGAAATGACTTTTAAATAACACAATTTTGCTTTTATTGATGTTTGTACATTTTCCTACCGGGAAACCATAACCATCCTTTACTTTAGGCCTTTTTGGAGGTAATAATACCTATATTACTTCTTGAAATCTTTGCTGATAGCAGAAGACGTACAATTCGCCTAATTTCGACTACCCAAAAACCATAATTATCCTCTATGACTACAATTACCAGTTTTTGGAGGATCTTTTAGGTAACCTTTTTCCATTTTACAAAATTACCTAAAATGACTTTTCATTAACACAATTTTGCTTTGTGATGTTTGTTTTTTACTATATTCCTAGACTACCATAAAACCATAATTACCATTTAGTTTACGTCATAAATTACCACATTTTTTGGAGTATCTTAAAGATAAACTTTTTCTTTTGTAATATTGTTTAAAACGACGTTAAAACAACACAATATTGCTTTTTGTAATATTTATTGATAGCTGACAACGTACATTCGCGTTGCAATCCCCTCAGACTATCCTAAGACCACAATTATCCTCCAGTTTAGGTCTATGTCTATGCCAGCTTTTTGTAGTATGTTATTTTTCTTTTCTGGCAATCTTGTTTTGAAATTAGTTTTAAATAAAGCAATGTTGCTTATTGGAGAGTTTTTTTTTTTACTCTATAGATAACTGAAAACTATCACTTTACACTACCGTAAAACTGTTGGTTGTTTTTTACTTTATTCATAGCCAAAAACTTTTACCATGCAGTAAATGGTAAATGGAAAAATAAGTGACACAGCACATGGAAACATGGATAAGTCTTCTCTTTAGTGAGTCCCAAGGTCTGACTTTTCATCACTCACTAGAAATTAAAATTAAATAATAATTATTACAATAAATAGGGGGCTGTCTATGTGTGAGGTTACTCCGCGGCATCTGTGTTCCCATGGGAACTATTTTTATGGTATGCTGCTTGAGTTTTGTATCAACTCCAACTCCAAACTCCTGCATGTGGGGCTATATGGGAAAAAGCGGCCGAACAATGAAATGGCGACCTTTGCAGGTTTCGGAAGGTTCCATTTTGCTCTGCTGGCAGTATGCGGCCTGATCTACTTGAATACTGCCGTCGGCATCACCATTATCTCGTTCGTGCTACCGTCAGCCACCTGCGACTTTCAAATGTCTTCCGCGGACAAGGGCTGGCTAACTGCTGCCCCCATGTTGGGTAAGTACAAATCATAAACCATAAACAAATCGTTTAAAACACGTGTAGTTGCTTGTTTGAAATTTACAGTCACTCAAAAAAAATCTCAAAATTCATCAATATTCACTCGCTAACTTAACTCGTTTTGCCAAAACTTCCGATACGGTTTTAACTTTCGAAGTCCTCTATGCTATATGGAACTATTTTAAGACATTTTAATATATATATATTTTTAAATATTCTAACGATACGATAATTGATAGAATTTACCTAATTATTGCGATGTATGTTTGGTTGATTTTATTTTGCCAATTTTGCGCCGTCCCTTTCGTATTCCGTGATGAATCACAGACTGATGAAGTATTCGCCCGGCTTGAATACTAGATGCGCGGGGGCGTGTTTTGGAAAACTCTCCGTCGACCAATAAGAGCTCGAAACGTTCAACAATAAACATGTCCACTGACAGATCGTCAATTTAACAGTTTCATTTTCAATGTGCCACTTTTTTAACAGTGTTTTTCAAAATATGTTCAGATTTAATTAAATTGTAAGTGAAAAAATGAGCTAAGTGTGTAAAGATCGCTGTATGAGCGTAAAAACATGCCTGAAGTGCAATTTGCGCTTGATTTTCTGTACAAACGGAGTTTTTCGAAAAAATAAACTTCGCAACAAATTTAACTGGAGTTTGGGTCAAGTTCAAAGTTCATTTTCTGATGTTATGAAAAATAATTGCATTTTATTTAAGTTTTAGATTTGTAAATACTAACCAGTTGTATATATTCTGTCAACGCTATTATTGCAATTAGTCGCATTTTGTTTTTTTTTATTCATTTATTTATTCATGTTGATCTCAGTTATTAAATGAAACGTTAAATTTAATGTCAAACGAATAAGTTTTTCTGGTTAGAAAATTAGTTTGATCGGCCATTTACAATTCACGACTTGTACGTTTTACTGGTCATGCAAAGCGGAATACAAAACGTCAGTTTTCAGAAATCTACATGGATAATACGTCTTTTCCTATGTTTTTTAATCAGTTTGTTCAAAATTTGCGCTGGGGCGTGTAAAAAGTGCTATCAAATAAAGAAGATGTTTAAGACAGGGACTTCCAAAAATAGATAAAAGACATAAAAGACGCTCATATTTCTTTTGATGTTGTTTTTAATTTGTCAATTTTTTGAATTTTTGAAATTTGCCGAAATTGCCTCCGTCTTGTCAGATTAGTCTAGCAAAAAATTGCTTTACTCGTAAGTTCGACTTGTTTTTGGATTTCACTTAAATGCGATAGGAGGTTTTCTTATTTACTTGAGATAGAGACATGTACAAAAGAAGCAATATGTTGAGAAAAGATATGCATTGACTTAAACAAAACACCTAATAGTGTTGAACGGAATTCCCGCAGAACGTGACAAAGATTAAAAAGATGCATTAGACTTTTCGGTTCAAATAACGAGCTTCTGATGGCGCGTAGTTGTGGTTCAAAATTAGCGTTCCCAGAGGCAGCAGAACTCACGACAAAACAGACGCTCCAACCGAGAGACAAACCATCAAATTCCGCGATGAGTTATGCAAACAATATTTTCGCCGCCATCGTCGCGTGCTAATTGCACCTTTCTTTGTCGTCCGGTTTGCTTTGCCACTTATCGATTGGATTCGGATGAAACAGACACGCGTCTCAACGCGATTGTTGATTTTTCGTTGCTTTTTTAAAGAGTTTTTTATTAGCAACGTCCTTAAAAAACGACGTGATCTGGTTTAATCCTGATTTCAGGGATGGTTATCGGCTCGTATTTCTGGGGCTGCCTGGCTGACACCAAAGGCAGAAAAATCGTGCTCATCGGGGCCCTGCTCATGGACGGTGTCTGCGGGCTGCTGTCGAGCATGTCCCAGATCTACTGGCTCTTTATGTTCCTGCGGTTTCTCAACGGATTCGCGTAAGTCGCGTCAAACTAACGGAATTCGTAACCTATATCTGCACCATATCATATAAAGCAGCGGGAGCAGAAAATAAAAGTGCCTCCAGCAGATTGTCATCAAAATATTGTCTAGAGTTTCGAGTTTTTTTTCTTTTTATCAATATTTGCCTCGCTAGTAAGGCAGTGATTTACAACTGGTTTTCTTCGAGATGAGAGTAGCGTGTTTTTTACGCAGGTGGCACATTTGATATGTCTCGACATTTACTCCAATTTTGCTAAGGTGTGTTGTTTTAGATTATACATATATTAAATATAAAGATTTTAACTTTATTAAGAATTCGAAACAATTATGAAAACTTTAATAGCAACACATTTTTACATATCATTTCGTTTCCATTTTAACTTTCGTTAAAATTAACATTTTTGAATAAAAAATAGTAATTATTGAGCTCTAAATACAGTCCCGTCACTTAAGTGGCGAAAAACCTAATCGATCAATTTGGGTGGTTTTTTTAATAAACATTTACGATTTTGCATTTTGAATTCGAGTTTTTTTAATGCGTCTAATATTACCGATATTTTGCCCCATAAACAAAAAATTTTACAGTTGTCTCAAGAATCCATCACCAAAAATATTTGTTAACATTGCGCCAGGAGGAAAAAAGTTGCTTAGGAGGTCCTAAACATTTTACCATAACTCATTTTATTTTCAAACAACAACAAACAACAAAATTTTGTATTTATCCTATATACCGTTTCACTTGGAACCATTCTAAGCGCATTTAAAAGGGCTATCAAACATGCAAGAAGTGCAAAAATTAATAAAAAAAATTCATAAGTTGAACACATAAGCGACCACCCTGTATATATTTCCGAAAATTTTTTTAATCTCGCACTTTCCGAATCGTATAAAAATTAAGCTAAAAACGGAGATGTTTCTGTACAATGCCTTGTTCCATTTTGGCGCAATATTTTCACGATACTGGTGGATCCGCCGGGCTGCGCAATAACATTTCGAATTTCGTTGCTAGTATAACCGGGGCGATGGGCATTTGTTTCCCTTACCTCGGCGAATTCCAACCGGGCAAGTACCGCGAAACCATCCTCTGCTGGATGGAAATGTTCTGGACGCTGGGCGTCATCATCTTACCGGGTAAGAGTCGCCTCTCACACCCCCCGCGCACCCGTAGACTGTCGACGTTTCAGGAATCGCCTGGATCATAATCCCGATGGAATTCAAGTACGAGTCGGACGGCTTCAAGTTTTCCAGTTGGAACTTGTTCGTGGCCGCGTGCGCGGTGCCCAGCATCCTCATCGGCCTCTGGCTCTTCTTCTTCCCCGAGAGCCCCAAGTTCTTACTGGAGTGCGGCGAGGCCGACGCCGCCCTCGACGTGCTCCGGGACATGTACGCGACTAACTACGGCGACGACGGCGCCAACTACCCGGTGGCGAGCCTGCGCGAAAAAGTGAGGACCATGAGCGTGGTGTCGACGCAGTCGACGCGCAGCGTGAGGAGTTTGAGGATACGCAAACCGAAAGAACTGAAACTGCTACTGGCTGAGATTTGGGAACAGACGAAAGCGTTATGCCGACCTCCTCATCTGAGGTACACGGTGATCACGTGTGCAATACAGTTCGGGCTCACCACGAGGTAAACATTTTTTTTTGCGATGATGGCGGATGCGCCGGACCACGATTAATGAAACCTCGTGTGCAGCTATTATACGCTGATGATTTGGTTCCCCGAGCTGTTTTACCGCTTCGAGGAGTTCGAGAGGTGGCATCCGGGCGAGAAGGCGTCAGTTTGCGACGTTTCCTCGGTAGTAGTACCGGGAAACGTCACCGGCGGCGTGGAAGAGTACTGCGCGGACCAGATCGACGACTCGGTGTTCTTGCACACCCTCATCATAGGCCTCGCCTGCATCCCGACGAGCTTCTGGCTGCCTCTGTGCGTTCACAAGCTCGGCACCAAGTTTTTCCTCGGTGAGTACTGCCCCTGGATGCGGTCAGACGCTTTGACGGCTCCCTTTCTCAGTTTTCAGCTTGATCGTCGCGGGGGCGGTGACGCTCGGCTTGTACTTCGTCGATTCGGCTACTTCGAACCTGGTGCTGTCGTGTATATTCGAGGCCCTCACCAGTTTGGGCATCAGCACGGTTTACTGCGTGATGGTGGACCTATTCCCCACTAATCTCAGGTAAGAAGCGGCCCCCAATCTCATTTCCCCCATTTTCATTTCCTAAAGTACCCGCGAGGCGCCAAAACTCCGTTGGGAATCAAACTAAAATCGCTCGTGGTGTTTTCAGGGTGATGGCGGCCGCCCTTTCGCTGACGTTCGGCCGCGGTGGCGCCTTGATAGGGAACCTTCTGTTTGGGTTCCTCATCGACCTTAACTGCGTGGTGCCAATCGTTTTGTTTGCCACGATGTTGTTCGGTGAGTTGCGTTCCATGTACTTTCTAGGTTCGCTCATACGTTTCGATTTTAGGCAGCGGCTTGTTGTGTCTTATGCTGCCCAACACGTCGGGAGGCAGCCTAGATTAACGCCGCACCATTCCAATAACTCAGAGTCTCCGCATAAGGGCGGATCGCCCGGTATTTTTATAAAATACTTTTTAGAAATGCGTACTCCATTAAAAGAGGACTCGCGATATTTTAGATGTGATAATTATTTAACATTAATGTACATAGATTATAGTGCCTTTCGTAAACGAAGGGGAAATACATTTTTAAAGGACCATTTTCGTTTGTTTTTATTAACTGCACCTTTAGAACTAAGATCGTCATCTATCGGAGAATCATCGAATTATCTACCAACCGGTAGCTAAACAATTTCAACTCACTTTTGATTTGGTTTCTGTCCAAAAGCTGGCAGCACCTGCTAACCTCGTTGGACTTCATATCCCTATTTTAGAGAATCGCCTGTCCCGAATTTTTGTCTCGAAAATCAAATCGAACCCAAGGAGATTTGCAACAGTTAATTGGGTCTTACAAATATTTTGTTCGCATCTCCAAACGATGTTAACTTCTTCTGTTCTGCATAAGTTTCTGTCGTAAATCGAACCAAACGCAAGGAGATTAGGAACAGTTAATTTTGTCTATTCCAAATATTTTTGTTGCCAGTTCCAAACCAGGTGCAAAAAGATATAGAACAGCTAATGAATATGCTTGTTTCTCAAATGGAACAGAACGCAAGGAGATTTAGAACAGTTAATTTTGTTAGTTCGAAATATTATTGTTCGCAGTTCCAAACCAGGTGCAAAGATATATACAACAGTTAACATCGTCCGTTCTGAATATGTTTGTATTGCAAATCGAATCAAAGGCAAAGACATTTAAAGCAGTGATGTTGGTCTGTTCTGAATATCGTTATGCCGCAAGTCGAATCGAACGCAAAATGATTGGGAACAGTTAATTTCGTCTGCTCCAAATTTCTTTGTCACCGACCTTAAACCGAGTCCAAAAATTTAGAACCGTCAAAACTGTCTGTTCTAAATATATTTGCGTCCGAAGTTCAATATTTGCACAATGCTTTGGAAGCGTTAATTTTGTCTATTCAAATCTCTTGGGCCGGAAATCTAAACCACAGAGTGCAAAGATACTTGTAACTATTACGGTATCTCCATTTCGTGTTTCAAACATTTTGATACGCGCGACCTGTATTTCTTGGCTCCAGTGCAATGTGGTTTGGTACAACGCAGTTTTAGGGGTCAATAAAAGGGCGGAGGTGTATACAAAAAAAACTTTATTGGACAGGGGCACACCAAAAAGAAACTAACAATAAATAACCAGGCAAAACAAACTTAACAACGACGACGCGCCAAGGGGGTTACGTCCCTGCCAGCGATGTCCGTCGCGTCGTGTCCTGCTGCGCCGCCACCGACGCCTCCTCTATCGTAGGTACCCCGAACACCAAGGGCGGGTAATACGCCGGGAATAGCGAGGAATACTGTTGCGTAGCCGCGGCCGCCGGTGCGAAAAATTGCGGCGCAAAAAGGCCCTGACGCTGAGCCATCTTCAATCTCGTGGTCAACTGCTTCTTCCACTTCGTTCTGCGGTTCTGAAATGAAACCCCCCTCAAGGAACAGTTAATTTTGTCTGTTCTAAATATCTCTGTGTCGTAAATCGAATCGGACACAAAGAGACTCGGAACAGTTAATTTTGTCTGTTCGAAATATTTTTATTCGCATTTTCAAACCGAATGAAAAAAAAGAAAGAGAAACAGTTGAGAGTTTTTTGTCGTACCTGAAACCAAGTCTTGATCTGCACCTCGGTAAGGCCGAGCGCCTTGGACAGCTCCATGCGTTTGCTGACGCTCAAGTACTTGTCGACTTTGAATTCCCCCTCGAGTCTTTCGAGCTGCTTCGCGCTGTAAGCCTGCCGAGGTTTCCGATCGAGTCCCGGCTTTCTCGAACGCCTGCTGGCGGGCTTGGGCCCTAATATTTCGACAATATACTGTACTGCCTGCCACTTTAATTCTAATGACACATTTTTGGATAGAACAGACAATTATAGACGCACTCTTAATCGTTTGGGGGCTGTTTTTCCAAAAAACGTCATTTTTTTGCTCTATCATATATGTTTGTTCCATATTAGGCATGATTCTTAAATAAATTGATTATATGAAATTTAATGTCATTTGGCAACGCTGGATAATATTAGATTTCTATGCAAAGCAACATAGTTCGCGCAAAAACGTCAATACAGCGTTGCAACCTGCTTATGCGCAGTTTGGTAGAACGTATAAATATCGAAAGATATTGCGTGAACAATCCAAATGACTTTTGTTATATCTGTGGTAGTTATGTCGTAGAAAAGCAAACTATACTTTTAGAAAAATGTATACCACGCTTATTTTGGTGTAAAAATTGGCGATCAAGACAAGATCTGGGCCCCTCATACTGTTTGCGTTGAAGCATTAAGAAACTGGCAAAAAGGTAGGACGAAATGTTCAAGCTTTGGTGTCCCTATGGTATGGCGAGAGCCTAGGAATAGTCACAGTGATGATTGTTATTTTTGTTCGTGTAATGGACTCATCAGAAAAAATAAGAAACAAATTGTGTATCCCAATCTTGACTCTGCTATTCGACCAGTTCCTCATGGACTAGTTGTACCGATACGAAGTGTTTAACCAGAGCGAATTAAATGATTTAATTAAGAGATTTGCATCTTCCAAAGGATGCATCCGAATTGTAAGCGTAAAGACTTACTGGTACCTGGAATCACATCAAGAACACTAGTGTATTCCTGACTTAGTAAAAAAAGAATGGAGCCTGTTTATTGACTCAATTAAGCGTTTTCCCCTTGCGCGCTCGGTATATTTAAGAGAAACGTATGAAAATTTGCTTCTATTGAAGAAAATAAACTACCAAGAACATCAGTGGGTGCTTCGTGGCGACCTTAAAGTGCTGTGCGTGGCCATAGGACAACATTATTTTTGATTGCGAAAGTAGGACAAGAGACAGACATTGGACTCAAAAAGCTTCACTACCTCCTCTTCATATCAAACTTGGCTTGATGAAGCAGTTTGTTAAAGCCATAAACACAAATGGACAGTGTTTCAAATATTTGTGCCATACATTTCCAGCCATATCTGACGCCAAGATTTTTGTTGGGCTGCAGATAAGAGAATTATGCAAAGACAAGGATTTTCAAAAAGAAGTTCCTTGTTAATTCTTAGGACGAAAACTACGAAAGTATTGCTCAAAATATGTTACAACAATGGGTTTGAAAATGCATTTCCCATTGTCATACTTGAACTATTTTCCCGTTAATTCTTGGAAGAGTTAGCGAAAAAGAGTAATATTTTTTTATAATATTTGCATTTACGTGATAAAAATGAATTATAGAAAATCAGTTTTCAAAATAACAACATCTGTCAGCAAGTTTAATTTTGAACTGAGGTGGCTTTTACATGATGAAAATCATTTTGTCAAAAATAAATAAGAACTAAAAGTTCTGATTTTCACAAAATTATATATTTTTACATGACAATTTTTCGACAACACCGTGTCTTTATTAAATGTAATATTTACAAACTATCTGCTACTATATATACCGAAAAATGACCATAAAACTTTAATTAATGTTGTGAACGTTAAGCAATATATTTGAATGTCTCATTTTGTTAATCTCCATGGCTTCCAATAAAATTAATTTTCTACTTTTCTTGGTTGTATGTAAAATATCAAAATTGTCGTCAAAAATGTGTTCTTTTGTGTTTAAGTGTGTAGCATAATTAGAATCTAGACCATTGTTTTTAAATACTCTTTTATGTTCATTAATGCGTTTCTTGGAGGCTCTACCTGTTTGTCCAATATAAATTTTAGGACAATATCCGCATTTCAACCTATAGAGCCATTATTTTTGAAATTTTGGACATTTCGTTTTATTGTTTTTTTTTTAATTTTTCCTATTGTGTTGTTAGTTCTGAAAGCTATTTTTAAACCACATTTTGACAAATGTTGTGAAACTGTTTCACTAGGTTCTCCTATGTATGTAATTGCCTTAAATTGTTCGTGTTCTGTATTAGGTTTCGGATAAATAGAATTTTCTGTTTTCTGGATTGGTTTTTTATTTATAATTTTATCTATAATGGACGGATGGTAGCCGTTGTTCAGTGCAATTTGTTTAATGATATTAAGTTCTTTGTTGTAATTTTCTATTGAGAGTGGCGTATTAAGAAATTTGTGTATAAAAGAGTGAAATGCAGCCATTTTGTATAGATACGTGGATGATGTCTTTGCTTGCTTTGTTGGAACGGACAGTCGTTGGAATTCACTATCGAGATTGAACAGGATAACTCTATTAATTTTTTAGACTTAACTATTACGAAAACGCAAAACAAATTAGATTTTTCATTCAGATTACTCAACAACGGCTACAATACGTCCATTATAGAAAAAAAATATAAATAAAACACAAATCCAGACAACAATAAATTCTATTTATCCGAAACCTAATACAGAGCACGAATAATTTAAAACAATAGGAGAATTTTTGAAAATCAATAAAACGAAATGTCCAAAATTTTAAAAATCAGGTGTCTACAGGTTGAAATGCGGATCTTGTCTTAAAATTTATATTGGACAAACAGGTAGATCCTTCAAGAAACTATTAACGAACATAAAAGCGCGTTTAAAAACAATAATCTAGATTCTAATTATGCTACAGACTTAAACACAGAAAATCACATTTTTGACGACAATTTTGATATTCTACATACATCCACAAAAAGTAGAAAATTAAATTTATTGGAAGCCATGGATACTAACAAAACATTAACAATTAACATTAATTAACAAAATGAGACATTCAAATGTATTGCTTAACGATCAATTAGATTTAAATACCTCTCCTTTATTGAACTTAAATTCTCACAACAACATTAATTAAGGTTTTATGGTCATTTTTCGGTATATATAGTAGTAGGTAGTTTGTAAATATTACATTTGATAAAGAGACGGTGTTGCCGAAACAATTGTCAAGTAAAAATATATAATTTCGTGAAAATCTGAACTTTTAGTTCTTATTTATTTTAAAGTTTAATTTTGTAGACCCGTGTTGTTATTTGAATTGCGTTTTCTTTTTTAAATCACAAACTATAGAGTTTCAACTGCAAACTAAATGGAAATCCTGGCGAATCCGCCGAAACTTGCACTTGCCTCGGCGTGCAGTTGGTTGCATACCGTCGAAATAAACGAAGACGGACGGCAACGTATTTATTTTAATATTTATTACATTTAACGCGTTCCCAAATTGGCCAATGCCAATCACGCCGCGTCAAAACGCATGTTTATCGGTTTTTAAAAAGCCCCACGGAGCGACAAATAAATTCTAAAGCGAGGCGTCAATTCTATTAGGCTATGCAAATTCCCGCGCTGTTTGGACAGCCATTAAGGTTTGTTTGAGCAAAGTCACGAACGCGATTCGTCGTTCCAAAGTTAGCGTAGGGCCCGGGACCGCGTCGTAACGAGGAGGGTACATAAGGCAGGGCCTCGGAAGTCGCTCTATACCGGGAAATCGACATTCTGAACAAACCGCAACGTTCGTTAGTACCTCAAAGAACCAAATTATGACGGCATTGTCAAGTCGTTCGGGACAATAAAAAATGCTAAATTTTAAAGGTCTAATTAGACGCGGGGTACCTTTCGCGTCTTCGCGTTCAGGATACTTTAAACAGTCGTTAAGCACCTGGGAAACGCGATAAAGACAGAGGCGCATATCGAAAGGGGTATAATACGACCAATACGACGTTTTAAATATTTTACAGTACCAGTTACCAGTACAGCAATAAAACGGATCCATTTGTCTTCGGATGCTAAACATATTGTTTAGAATGGGATAGTCAAGAGGAAGGTGAGAGAAGATTCTGGTACTTCGCGAGTTTTTAAAAAGCAACACGCAGCAGAACTTTATTAAAAAGTACAGACAGACTTAAACATTACAGAGTTCTAAAAATAAGGTTTTTTTTTGTTGCCCTGGATATCTTTGAAATTTTTATGTTTTGAAGTGTCCAGATCTCGAATATATATATATATATATATATATATATATATATATATATATATATATATATATATATATATATATATATATATATATATGTATACATATATATATATATATATATATATATATATATATATATATATATATATATATATATATATATATATATATATATATATATATATATATATATATAACTTTTTTGCGTATACAAACATCACGTGATCCCCACCCTTTGCTCCGCAGAACAGCTGAGATCTCAGTTATTCGACAATACGAAGTACCTACATGTGAATCTAATCTTATTTGTTAATATTTCCTTTCCATTACTGAAAATGATATATTACTGATATATAAATATAGTACCGATTTGTTTTGTTGTAATTGCGGTGTTTATTTAACAAAAAAACAACAACGAAACATTACAGACTTTGTTAAGGAGGCTTACACTGAATATTTCGGTATTAAAATGGACAAACTAGAAAAACCATGGGTTCCTCATAAAGTTTGTAGTCTTTACGGTTATGGAAAAAAGGAGAAAGTTCTGGATTTGACTTTGGTATTCCGATGATCTGATTATAGATGCTAAAGGTTTCAATCGCAATCAAACCTGGAGATATCGAGAATTACAGTCTACAAAATGTCCTATACTTCACAGTGAAAATCTTCCTCGGCCTATTTACGTTTCAAGAATAATTCGAATGCCCTCAGAAACAATGATGTTAACAAATTCACAGAAATCGGGACAGTCTACAAGTGGAAGTGAATGGGAAGGTGAAACATCCCACGTCCAAGTTATTTTCTCAAAATGAACTCAATGACGTAATATGTGATCTCTATTTATCAAAACACGGATCAGAATTATTAGCATCAAGATTAAAAGAAAAAAATTTATTGGCCCAAATAGTGACAATTACGACAGAAC